TTTTTAAGTATGTTTTAGTTTTCAAGGCATGTAATAGAATCCACATCCTGGTATTAGCTACTTGTGAGCTATATTACTGGAGGACTCGAATCTATTTTAAATTTTGGTATCAGGAGGAACTCATTATTTCAATTTTTAAAACTTCAGTGACCACAAGAAAAACTTACCTTTCTTTAGTATGCTGGTACCTGGAAGTGACATATTAGAAATTTCACATTCCTGGGATATACTGATGTCATCTAGAGCAACAGTAGCATTTGATGATAAAACAGTAGCTTCCAAAATCAACTATAATTACAGAAAAACAAATTATTAAAAATATATCATAAATGTCTTACAATCATATATCTTTGTGTAGAGAAGCTCATTTGCATCTGTCCCACCTTCCAATCTAATTTTAGAAAACTGTTTTGACCAGAAAGTTCAAATTATAAATTTATAAAGTCATAGCGGCTTTGACAGCTTCTTATGTAACCTTAATGTCTTAGGTAACCTTGTTTCAATTAAAAGTTGAAACATTCATCACTCCTGAAGGGTTGCCTTCCCATTGGAGCCATTAAGAGTTGTATACATTTAAAATGAGCTCTTTGGGGTAATCAACTGTGTGGTTTACAACTCAATTTAATTGAGATATGAATTCATTTGTAAAAGGTCTGCTGGAGGCAATGATTCATTTTCATATCAGAATATTTAAATACTAATACATATTATGTATATATACAGAAACCTACTTAGTGAGGTAAAGCATAGAGTCAATAATCACATACAGTGGTTAATAATATTCATAAGTTAAAGCACTCAGAGGCATCTATTTCAGTTTAATTTATTCTAACACTCTGAATAATGACTGATGTAATTTGTTTTCTTTCTCATTAATCACATCATTATGTTGGTTAATCTACCACCTTAAAAAAAAGAGAGAGAGAGAGAAATTGTGTCTGGAGTCTTAAAGACGTGTAGTAGGACCACCAGTGCAGGACATAGTAGGTGGTGCATCTCGATCTTATCAGAGAGGATCTCAGATCCAAAGATCTTACGATTTACTTGGTATGATGCATTAACAACTAAACTACACCACAAGTGTTATACAAAGAGATACGTATAAGATACTAGGAGAATCGAAGAAAAACTCTTCATTGTTTCTGCCAAGAATGTGAGACAAAATTTGGAAAAAGCTGCTAAAAATACTAACTACCTAACAACCAATAACTAATTACCTAATAATAGCTACTCAGTTATATCTGCTACTTCAGATTTTGTTAGAGAAACTAGTAACATTACAGGCAAAAGCAAGGAGATGTGGAAGTGTATGGTATATTTAGAACACTTTGGGTGAAATGCTGACTTTAGCAACACATAGACTAGAACGCTTGGGGTGCTACAGGATGATAGGTTTTGAGACATGCTATCCCCAAAATATGGCACACCTTGGCATAATGAGTATTTCAAGCTGGAGGAATTTAAGAAATGGCATGTGCAGGATGGACTATCTGATCTTCCCTCATGTGAGAGGTGTCCTCTCTATAACCGGAGGAAAGGGACATCCTTATTTCAGAAGACAAAAGGACACACAAGCAGAGGAATCTGAATCTTTGCCTGGCTAAGTTTCTCCCAGTTGATTACACTTAGCTCATACTCTTTGCCCCATCGTATCTTTCCATGACTGTCCACTCTTCATCAAACCTTGCATAAAAAGGCTTAGGATTAACTGTTTCTTTATTAACTGGTCTTTACGTCCTTATTAAGGCTCCAGTGTCATGTAAGGCTTATATTAAATAACTTTGTATGCTTTCTCCTTCAATCTACTTTTTTAGTTTAATATTCAGACCCAGCCAGGAACCATAAGAGGGTCAGGGAAAGTGTTTTGCTCCCATACATAGGAGTACAGGATTTTAAGAGAATGATAAATTAAGTAACAGATGGAACAAACTGATTGCAAGAATTGGTGCAGCTGAAGTGGAAGGCAATTTGATGTTATCTATTAAAAAGAAAAACAGCACAGACTACAAAAATTAAGCCCACTTCTCAGCATTTATGCTAGAGAGACACTCATCAGCATATACGTGAAAGCCCGTCCAGGAATGTTTACTTCATTGTTGGTTTTGATAAGTAAATAAATGGAAACAATTTAAATGTCAATCAAAAAAATAAATGGTTATACAGACCATGGGTAACCATGCCACTTAAAAATAACATCTCTATGTGCTAATATGGAAAGAACCTCAATATGTATTTCTGAGTGAAAAATTACAGAAAAAAAAGTTTATGATAGGATACTACTTAGGCTAAAAACACAATGGTTTAGATTTCTAGATATAGTGGTACATACATATACATTACATCAATAGAATAGGGTCCAGAAGTAAAAATGAACTAATGTCTATGCTAACCTCAAGATAAAGACTAATAAGAGGTGAAGGAGATCAGGACAGACTATTGCCTTATCTGCAATTTTTGATACTTTATGATGAAATGTATATAATTATAATGATTTTTAAAATTCTTATTAGAACTGCTTTTTTTTTTTTTTTGTAGAGTCTTAACCGACTAAGGAATTTGGCCTTCATACACAAGGCAGAAAATAACAGTTTTTAAAGAAGGATTTTGACAAAGTATCTATAGGCACTGTAATTGAAAAATATATTATGCTTAACACCATTAAGGTATTGTAATTTATTTTGGACAGCTTTAATTTTAAAAGATTTTTCCTTTTATTCATTACTAGAAATTATAGTAGACTGAAGTCAATTAAAATACAGATGCTTAATTCTTCAGACTCATTAGACAAGCCTTTATTGATGCCATATTTGAAGCCCTGCACAACTTTTTTAAAAAGTGGGGAAAAAAGAATGCTTGGGGCACTTCTCTGTGCCTCTAAAGAGGTAAATGGATGGGGTGGGACCCTGGCAGGAGTTGAAATAGAATTGTGAACTAGGTCTGTAAAATATGGTTATATCATTTTGTCTGAAGGGAACCACAAGACTTTCAGATATTCATATTAAAATGTTAACATAAAACTACTTCCAAAGCCAAATAAAAATGATATCAGGTCATCTACACCTCTGCTTGCTTATTTCAATATAATTAAATTCAGAACTCTAAAATGAAAAATTATAATTCTACCATGAATTAAAATCTTCCATATTTAAAAAGAAAAATGGTCACTTCTTTTAAAAATGTTTTTATATCTGTAAATAATACCATCTGATGATTCCAAAATCACCTTGGCTATTTCTGGTTTTTATTGCTTGTTTCAACTAAGCCGATCTTTTGATTTGTGAACAAAGGCAGTTTTCCTTTGGGAAATACAGAACCAATTAATAATCAGTAAGTGAGAAAGAGTTCATGCAGGAGAAATGTTTCAACCATGGGCATTTCAACCACAAATGAAGAAGTGAAAACATCATTTTTTAAGATGCTCAAGGAAATCTGTGAATTTAAATTCCAAGTTAGGTCTTGGAAGGTCTCTCACTTCTAAAACTATTTTTTAGGATCTTGCTGATATTTGTTTTATTCAGTGATATTATTCAGTGAAACCTCATTTTTTTAAGATTCTCAAGGAAGGGCACCTGGGTGGCTCAGTTGGTTAAGCGACTGCCTTCGGCTCAGGTCATGATCCTGGAGTCCCTGGATCGAGTCCCGCATCGGGCTCCCTGC